GCATGATGCAGACGCTCACTCCGCTCATTCCTCAGATCGTGCGGTTAGTGACTCCCCCGACAAACCCGACTTGGCAAAGGCCGAGCGGGGAGCAAGTCGGGACCGGAGAAGCCCGAGAGCAAGCGACGGACCCGAGAGGTCCACCTGGGCAGAATATACCTGCACCCTGCCAAGTCACATTACCCCACTTCGAGCCTGACACTGTATCATCCAACTCAGTAGACGACTCGCTTAGGGCTCAGTTGTCCCGGGTCAACCAACACCAGGATGCGTTCCAACACGAGTTTCGAAAATCATGGAGCAAGTCCAACGAAGGCAGCTCGGGCGGGTCCCCTTTCACTCAGGAAATACAGGGCAAGCCGTTACCCCTTAACTTCAGGTTGCCTACATTGGAGACATACGACTGTCATGGACTTAGCTGGTTTTGCCTAAGTCGTACGACACCCTTGCGTGTCCGTCCACAAAGGTCAGCCTCCCCGAAGCCTCTCATGGTCCCTTATGACCTACAAAAGAGAAAATGGGTTAGAGAGAATGCCTCACTCGAGATCCACAAACAAATATTTCTGAAAATACTTAATAGACTATGTAAATTACAAACATACTTTACAAGCTCTAAACAATTATACATCAAAGGGTCAAAATGGTCCATTACATATCAAAAATCTCTTACAAGTGTCAACATGACATAACCTTTATTTACAAGCCTAAAGCAGCTAACAAACCCAACTAAAATGAGACTATTAAGCCTTCGACCATCCCTCTACATGCTGTACAAAGCAATGAATATACCAAAAGACACGGACATACATAAGCGTTACATCAAACATCCTATTTTGAAGTTTGTCCGTGACATTCTCCCCCACTTATTCCTTCGACGTCCTCATTGAAGCCTTTGCCGACATTGCAACTCCTCGCCTTTGTTGAGTCTTCAATCTTCTGCTCAAGTTGCAATGCACCTCTTGGCTCCCAATTGCTCTCCGCTGCTATTTTTGAGTAGTCGAACCTTTCATCTGCCATGCTGCTTCAACTCACCAATGACTCTAACTCTAGTGTGGGGTTGGCTGAGTTTTGTTGATCTCTGTTAGTTCCTGTGGATCTTCTAGATGAAGGAACAGACCATCCTTACAATGTGCTAGTCTCTCAAATGCCTCATGCTGCTTGAATTAGGTGGATGCTTGTTGGAGCTTTAACGAGCATCGCCTCGCAAACTTCTGAAGTTTTGGGTCCTTCCTCCACAAAATTTATCAATTGACTCTTCTTTCACTTAGTTGTCACTTCCAAGTAGGTTCGCATCACTTCCGCTTTCGATTGGCATTTCGTTGGGAAATGAAGCAAACAATCTACTCTCAGTAGCACTAATCATCGTTGGTGAGGATTTGACAACTATTGCCTTCCATTATCTTTGAAGGGTCTTTGAACCTGTGCAGAGCTCCTCTGTTGGATAGGTAAGAGAATTGGGGTACTCGGTTTCGCCCATTCTCTTAAGAGTTAAGAAGGTAAAGGTTACTTGACTTCGCCCGCTTCCTCGAGGTTGTACTCCATGCATCGAGCTGGTTACTAGCCTTCGCCTACTCTTTGCTCACACTTCTGAAGCACTTAAAGTGTTTGCACTCCTTACATTGAGTTAGCTACTATGATTCACCTTCTCAATGCCATCGAACTTATGAAATGCAAGAAGTTTTCACCCCAACTTGGAGTAAGTCTCTAATAGTTTTGGTCGCCTATGGGATTGTACCATCTTCTCCATCAACCTAGTCGCCTACTCCACTGAATATCAAAGGTACAACACCTCGTACTGCTTACTTCATTCCCGAAGTCCTTCACTTTCGGGTTATCTTGATAAGAAGCTCGTTGACATCAGTCTTACGAAGTTCCTTGGCCTATGCCCTTCAGCCTTGTCTCGGTACTTGGAGTTTGTCTCTGCATGCTTCACCTCCTCGGTCCCTTTCACAACCAAGCGCTCTCCCTACATGAGAGCAAGGGATCAATGACTTTCGCAAAAGTCTCGCCTCTACGGTACCATGGCGTTGCCAGGCCCATGACCCTACTATCCGTTGCCTCGCATCTGTATCCATTTTCTTCACAATCAGTAGATATGTCTCTATGACACTCCTCCACGTCCACCTCCATTCTAACTGATGCTTGATTTTAGGTAGCTATGTCCCTCTAGACTTGTCGTCGCTTCCTCATCCCTTTCGACCCCCTGCTTTAACACCTCTGTATTCTCCAAGCAGCTCCCTTTGGTCGATGGAAAGACAGACTGCAACTCTCATGCATGGCCTTTGCCATCACGTTGTAGGGTTTGCACCAATTCTGTTCTCCTTAACTTCCTTGGTAGCAACGTTTGCTTACTCGATCTTATCCTCTGATGTGCGACCCACCGGCATCGAAACCGAAACCGATCTCAATCACTCGGCCCCCAAATTCAGTTCCTGCCCGGGTCGCTCTAGTTTGCTCCCGACGTGCGACCCACCGACATCGAAACCGGAACCGATCTCAATCACTCGGCCCCTAGGTTCAGTTCCTACTCGGGTCACTCTAGTTCACTCCCGACTTGCGACCTGCCGGAACCGAAACCAGAATCGAGCTTAGTCACTCGGCCCCCAGGTTCAGTTCCTGTCGGGTCGCTCCAGTTCGCTCCCGACTTGTGACCCGCCGGCACCGAAATCAAAACTGAGCTTAGTCACTCGACCCCAGGTTCAGTTCCTACTCGGGTCGCTCTAGTTTGCTCCTAACTTGCGACCTATCGACATCAAAACCGGAACCGAGCTCAGTCACTCGGCCCCCAAGTTCAATTCCTACCCGGGTCACTCCAGTTTGCTCCCGACTTGTGACCCGCCGACGCCGAAACCGGAATCGAGCTCAGTCACTCGGCCCCCAAGTTCAGTTCCTACCCGGGTCGCTCCAGTTCGCTCCCGACTTGTGACCCGCCGGCACCAAAACTGGAACCGAGCTCAGTCACTCGGCCCCAGGTTCAATTCCTGCCT